CACACACACACACACACACACACACACACACCTCCCTGGGCAGGTATCTCTCACTCTCTCTGCCACTAAGCTATGGCACAGGGCATTCTGTCCTAGTCCTGGCTGTCTAGCTCGCACTCTCTCTCAAGCTCTGTGTATGCCTCCCTCAAGCGCTTGTGCTCTGAGTGCAGCACTCCTGCCTCAGTGCAGCGCCAGGCAGAATGAATGAGGCAACTGGAGCAGGGCGCTCTTTTGTACTGTTGACTCGGCCTGGCCTACCTCCCTTTGCCTCCTCGACTGGCTTAGGTTTCTTGACCCATGTGGCCCAGCTTTGTTACCGGCCTGTGTGTGCCTGGACCCTGTGGGCCTTGAAAATTTATCAAAACTGCACGGAGCCTTTGGATGTGTGTGAGATCTGTGGTTGTGGTTAACTCCTGAGGTATCTTTGACTCTTTTGACTCCCTTGCCCAAGTTGGCCCTGTCTGTTGACTTTCCCGGGGTCTACTTTTGACTCAAGGCCCTGGGTGCCTTGTTTTTTGACGTTTGGCCCCAGCCTACCATCCTAAGAACTTTCTGGCCCCTCTTCAGAGGGCCGCGATGCGACTTTGGAGCCTAGCACTTTTGACACATGACCACAAGCTACGACCCCTATGGTACCACCTCCTCCTGAATAGAACACCCCGAAAGTGTAGGTCTATTTGGGGCAACTTCAAGTCACTTATTCAATTTGTGGAGATGATAGCTCTGTGCGGCTTTGAACCTTTTTTTTTCTCGTTTTTTTGCAAACTCTTAAATGCATGGCAATTTATTTATTAATTATGGAAATAGAAAACATGCTGGATGATTATTCAATTTGTGGTGATGGAATGTGTGCCGGGCAGGTAGTGGCAGTCGGCGAATGTGGGCTAGATTATGATCGGCTTCAGTTCTGTCCCAAAGAGACACAGAGAAGGCAAGTGTTGTTGTCCTGTTTGCTTGTCTATACTTTGTCTCAAATGGACACAGAAAGGCAAGCGTTGTCCTGTTTTCCTATCTGTACTTTTTGTCTCCAACAGACACAGAAAAGGCAGGTGTTGTGCTGTTTCTTATTTATTATACTTTTGTGTCAAGTAGACACAGAAAAAGACAAGTGTTGTTGTCGTGTTTTCTTTTCTATACTTTTGGTCTCAAATAGGCACAGAAAAGGCAAGTGTTGTGCTGTTTTCTTATCTATACTTTGTCTCAAATTGACACGGACAAGGCAAATGCCAAATAGTCTCCTATTTTCTTATCTATACTTTGTCCCAAATAGATACAAACAGGGCAAGTGTAGTCCCCTTTTTTTTTCCTTTTTTTTTTTCTGAGTGAGGACGCCGCCCGGCCGGGCCCAGCCGGTTGGGCCCGGGGGGGGCGCCCGGGTAAACCGGGCAGGACAAAAAAACGCCCAGAATTTTTTTTTTTTTTTTTTTTGAAACCGGGGTTGTTCTGTGCTCAGCGAGAGGACCCCGAATCTGCAATAAAATTTTGATTTTGGTGGGGGGATGGGTGGG